TTTCCATGTTTAGCACTCCCTTAAGGATCTCTGGTAAGGCTGGTCTGGCTGTAACAAATTCCCATTTGCTTGTCTGATAGAGGAATTTCATTTCTCCTTCACTTATGAAGCTTAATTTAGTGGAATACGAAATTCCTAACTGAAATTTCTTTTAAGGATACTGAAAATAGACCCCAAACCTCTTCCAGCCTCTAAGGTTTCTGCTCAGAGTTCCCCTGCCATCTTGATGGGATTCTCTTTGTAAATGACCTGACCCTTCTAACTGCCTGTAAGATTTTTTTCTTTCACATTGACCTTGGGGATGGTTGTCTTACATAGTATCACCAGGGTTGTTCTGTATTTCTTGAATTTTCATGTCAGCCTCTTTAGTGAGATTGGGAAATTTTCAGACTATATCCTCAAATATGTTTTCCAAGTTGTTTACTATCTCTCCTTCTCTTTCAGGAATGCCAGTAAGTTGTAGGTTTGGTCTCTTCAAATACACATCTATTTCTCAGAGGCTTTATTCACTTAAAAAAAAATCCTGTTTTATTTATTTTTGCCTGACTGAGTTGTTTGGAAGAACTGGTCTTTGAGATCTGAGATTCTTTCCATATCTTGGTCTAATATACTGTCAATGCTTCTGACTATATCACGAAATTCTTGTAAATGTTTCAATGTCAGGAAGTTCAGTTTGGTTCTTTCTTAAAATGACTGTTTCGTCTTTCAGGTCTTATATCATTATACTGAATCCCTTAGATTTCTTGGGTTGGGTTTCAACTTTCTTTGAGTCTTGATGAGCTTCCTTGCCATCCAGATTTTGAATTTTATGCCTGTCATTTCAGCCATTTCAATCTGGCTACGAACTATTGCTGGGGAGCTAGTAGGCTCCCTGGATGTATGAAGACACTCTGGCTTTTTGATTGTCAGGGTTCTTGCACTGGTTCTTAACTGAAAGAGCTTGTGTATCTGTAACTGTGGCTTGAGTAGAGTATAACCAACTGGCTTCGTTTCTGGGTTATTTTAGAGGACCAAGACTCTGTATAGGATCTTTATTTGATTCTTGTCCTGGATTTCATAGGCAACATATGCTGGAAAAATATTTTTGGTCTTGCAATTTGGGATGGAACCCAATACATGGTGCTTAAAAGTAACAGCATACAGCCTCTTATTCAGCTACGCTGCCTTTGTAGTTCAGTGAGTTCACAGTACTGGTCTATGTTGGGAAGGAAGAGGGATGACCCCTTCACCAAGTCTGCTCTTGGGCTTGAGGGGAGCCCCCACCAGTCCTGGGCCTGAGGAGAGCCCCCACCAATCACTAGCACTGTGCCCATGTCTCCTTTGTTAGGTATTCTGGGTCATGGGTCTTTCTTCCTTGGGCATAGGGCACAGCTGGGAGACAGGCCACTCCCTTCCCAGACCACCTGTATTGGAAGGGATGCTCCACTTCTGCACTGGCCCCATGAACTCATCACCTTTCTCAGTGTTTTGAGAGTAAGGGCTCCTCCCTCACTCACATACCAGCTACAGATATCAAGTTAGCACTGCCAAGCTCCACGTTGCAGCCCTGGGGCATTGGGACCAGTCTGCAGCTCCATCCTCTGGCCCTTCAGGATCAGGTACCATCTGTGCTGGGGGATCCAAAGTGCTCCCAGACCACCAGTAAAGTATTCAGGCTGGGTCACCAGCAAATCACCCAGGCTGTGTAATGGGGGCTGTGCTGCATACATGATCCTGCAGGAGCAGCCAGGCAGGGACCTTGGGAAGGGCTGGCAGACCTAAAGAACAGACATGTTCCAGTCCCATGGGGAGGTCAACCCTGCTTTCTCTTGGCCCAGCAGTCAGCTTGGGTTAGAGCTACTTGGAAAATGATGAAGAGCCTTTGGGCATGGACACCAATGGTGACATTCTACTGTAGCTGTCCTATATGCAAAAGCTCCTGAGCTACATATACACAGGCTGCAGCTCTATCTCTGCCTACTTTCCAGGTAGATTCCCCTGCCCTCTGAGTTCAAATGTCCATGGAGATGGTGAGATTTCTTGTAGCTAGGATCCCAGAGGTCAATGGCAAGAGTGGGCTGCCCTGCCATCCCTTCACTCTGCCCTTTTCTAAGAGCCGTTCAAAGCTGGAAACTAGCCCTGGCACATGGTAACCACGCACAGAATTCCCAGCTTCCTTCCTCTTCAGTCTTGGTGTCTGCATTGCCTCTCTATGCAATAAGAGAAACTCTTGTTTTCTCTTCAAAAATCTGGTTTACTGAATATTTTGGTTTCCCTCTGCAAGAAGATACCTTCCTAGCTACCTCTAATTGGCCATCTTGTCTAATCATGTGATTTTTATCCTGCATTTCTTAAGGTATCACATTGACTAGCTTTCTATGTTGAAATATCCTTGCAACACAGTGATATATTTAACTTGGTCATAGTGTATGATCCTTTTAATGTGCTGTTAAATGTAGTTACCTAGTATATTACTGAGGATTTCTGCATCTATTTTTGTAGTCTTTGGTTTTGTTATTATGGTAAAGTCAGTCTTATAAAATGGGTTTGGAGGTATTTTGTTCTCTTCAATTTTTCTGGAAGAGTTTTAAAGGATTGGCATTAATTCTTCTTTAAATGTTTGGTAGGATTCCTTAGTAAAGCTATCTGGTCCTCAACTTTTCTCTATTTTGGGAGGTGTTTGGATTACTGATTTAATCTCATTACTAGGTACAGGTCTGTCCATTTTTTTTTTATTTTTTCATGACTCAATTTTGGCAGATTTTATGTTTCTAGAAAATCATCTATTTCTTCTAGGTTATCCAATTTGTTGGCATATAAATTTTCATAGTAGTCCCTTATGATTTGTATTTCTGTGGCATCAGCTATAAAGTACTCTCATTTCTGATTTAAGTCTTCTCATTTTCTTCTTAGTCTAAGTAAAAGTCTGCCAGTTCTATGTATCTTTTCAAAAAAAATTAACTGAGTTTCACTGATTATTTTCTCTATTGTTACTATTCTCTATTCCATTTACTTCTGTTTTGATCGTTATTATTTTCGCCCTACTTCTCATTTTGGGTTCAGTTTGTTCTTCTTTTTCCAGTTCCTTGAGGTGTAAACTTGTTTGGGATCTTTCTGCTTCTTAAATATATATACTTTTTGCTATAAATCTCCCTGTTAAAACTGCTTTTGCCACACCACATACGTTTGGTATACTGTATTTTCACTTCCGTCTCAAGATATTTTCTAATTTCCTTTTTGACTTCCTCTTTGGCTGATTGTTTACGAGTTTACTGTTTAATATCCACACATTTCGAAATTTTACTATTTTCCTCCTGCTATTGACTTCTAGTTTGATTTTACTGAAGTCAGAAAAGATACTAGCTATCTTAAATTTATTCACTTGATTTTTGTGACCTAACAAGCTATCTATGCTGGAGAATGTTCCATGTGCACTTGAGAAAAATGTATACTCTGCTCTAGCTGGGTAGAATATTCTGTTAGGTTCATTTGGTCTACAGTGTTGTTCAAGTTTTCCGTTTCCGTACTGATCTCTGTCTGGACCGTCTTCCCCATTACCGGAAGTAGTGAAATGAAATCTCCTACTATAACTGTGTTACTATTTCTCCCTTCACTTCTGAAATGTCTGCTTCATGGATTAAGCGCTCTGATGTTAGCAGCACACATAATTGTTATATTTTCTTGGTGAATTAACCCTTTCATCATTATATGATATCCCAAAACTGCCTGTTGTGACAGTTTTTGACTTAAAGTCTCTTTTGTCTGATGTAAGTATGGCCACTTCTCTTCTTTCGGTTACCATTTGCAAGAAATATCTTTCTTCATTCCTTCACTTTGACTTAGCCTATGTGTGTCCTTAAATCTAAAGTGAGTTTTTGTAGAAAGCATATAGTTGTACCTTGTTTTTTTTAATGCACTCAACTACTCTATGATTTTTTTAGTAGGGAATTTAGTTCATTTATAATAACACTAGTTATTGATTAGAAAGGTCTTACGATTGCCATTTAATTCATTGTTTTCTATCTGTCTTGTGACACTTAATTCCCTATTTTCTTCTCTTGCTGTCTTTTGTGTTTCATTTTTCTGTAATGACCCTGCTTTGATTCCCTTCTCATTTTTTTTTTTTTGAGACGGAGTCTTGCTCTGTCACCCAGGCTGGAGTGCAGTGGCGCGATCTGGCTCACATACAAGCTCCGCCTCCTGGGTTCACGCCATTCTCCTCTCAGCCTCCTGAGTGCTGACTACAGGCGGCCCGCTACCAACGCCCGGCTAACTTTTATCTTTTTGATATTTTTACGTAGAGACGGGGTTTCACCGTGTTAGCCAGGATGGTCTTGATCTCCTGACCTTGTGATTCGCCCATCTCCGCCTCCCAAAGTGCTGGGATTACACGCTTGAGCCACCACGCCCGGCCTCATTTTCTTTTGTGTATCTTTTATAGGTTATTTTCTTTGTGGTTACCATGGGGTGTACATAAAGTACCTAATATTTATAGCAATCTATTTTAACCTGACAATTTAACTTTAATTACATACAAAAACTCTACACTTTTACTTCTACCCCACACACTTTATGTTACTGATTTCATACTTTTCATCTTTTTATACTATGTATCCATTAACATATTTCTAGAGTCATAGCTCCTTTTATATATTTGCCTTTCAACTTCTATACCAGAATTAAAAGTGATTTATGCATCAGTGTTACAGAATTGCAGTATTCTGCATTTGTTTATATATTTACCTTTACCAGTGAATTTTATACTTTCATATGGTTTCACGTTGCTGTTTGGCATCCTTTGCTTCATTCTTTTTCCTTACTGTTTTTAACTAGACTCTAGAATCTAAAGATCATGTTTATTTTACAAATTAAACTAGCCAAAGAATATGCATCAGTGTTGTTTGGCAATTATAGGTCCAAACTGAGCTTCTATTCTAGGACTTAGGGTACTGATGGAACTGTGTTCCTAAATCAATAACGCATTTCTACTCTATAAAAATTCCACCAGTTTCAATACCTACCAGTTCCTTTGCTCAGATATGGGGGCTTAAAGAACTTCACAACACCGTAGACATTGACAATTGTACCACCCTTAAGTTGATTCAGGGGTGTATATATATAATTTGTTGCTGGAACCTAAAGAAGGAGAAGACAGTGAATACATTTATAGTAAGTATTTACATTGTAGAATCATGTTATAATCATATTAGCAGCAAATCCATATAACTGCATTTTATCCTTTTAAGTGTCTAAAAGAAGCTGTAACCTGAAAAAAAGGCAATGAACACAGCTTAGCTTATCCAACTAGTTTCCCTTAGAACTTTGTTTATAAATGGTACAATTTGCACACTAGCTCATAAAGGCATAACCTATAATCTAATTAAAACATTATACTTCTCCAATACAAAAGTAGCAAACAGTATATACATAAAATCCCTGACTTATGATGGTTCAACTTATACTCTTCTGACTTTAGAATGGGTCTAGTAGGCTGTTTAATGCATTTTATATTTATAACATTTATGACTTATGATGGGTTTACTGGATGTAACCTCACTGTAAATCAAGGAGCATCTGTAGTGAAATACCAGAAATACGTATCACAACTGAAGCAATAACAGAAAACAAGAAATACTTTTTAAAAATATGTACATCTTCAATGTAAAAGGTCTAAGAAAAGAGAGTTTTATTAAAGGTAAATGACTAGGCATGAGATATTTTTAGAAGCCCTGAAAAGGTAACCAGAATACTAGTCTTAACAATACAAGTTACATCTCTTGTAAGTTTAGAAAACTCTTTTTTTAAGGACACTCTCAAGGAATCTTTAAGTAATTAAACCATCCTAGCTGTCTTTAAGTTAGTACATCCCCAGCTTATTTGGTCAAGAAACTGTAGCTGGGGGACAAGAAATCAAATTGTTAACAGAGAGCAAATTCTAAAAAATGCAATTTAAGAGATTTTGGTTCTATTTTTTAACTAATATCACTTCAAAACTTGTGGTACAATTTCTCTCTTCCCTTTACCCCCATGCTATTATAGAGATTTTCCACAGGCCTAGATTTTGACTCATAATTCAAGCCAGGTTTTGAGTCATAAATGGTATAAAAAGATTTAAAATGATAATAATGAAACTGTACCCCAAAGAATTAAAACTAATAATGCCTAAATTCTTGGGCTTACAGTATAGTAGATAAGAAATGAAAACTTACTGAAAAGTTGAAATCAGCAACTAACAAAAATTCTTGAGTTTGCAGAGTACCAGATAAGAAAAGAAACAACTCGCTGAGATACTACTGAAACTCCTACTGATTGTTGAGAGCAAGAACAAACTATCTGAAATCAGTTGAAACCAAGATGGCTGACTGGAATTTGAGAACGAGCTTGCTGACATCACAGTATGAATTTCCATCACATTCATCATACTAACTCCACCTGAATTTGCGCATGCAACCCATGCGTTAATGTGAAGAAATAACTGTGCATGCCCAAGGACTTTCCAAACCTCCCCTTTCGTCCTACAAATGACTTACTAATCCGAGTATCTACTCTCTAAAACTCTTCTAATAAAATCACTGACTTAAAGACAGCACAGGGAGACATATTTGAGCTCAGCTCGTGTCTCCTTAGGTGCTGACTGACTTTCAGCTTTTCTTTTCTCAAAAATTCAATTTCACAGTATTGGCTTATAGCACATCAGTTAGTGAGCTCCTTTTGCTCTATAATGAGAGTGAAAGATTATTTTTTGAAGTAACTGTGAATAAGTTGGGAAAGAAAAGGGAAAGTGGTTTACAAGGATATGTTTGCATATTAACAGTGATACTAAAAAAAGCCTTAAAGGGCTTTAGATAGGTGGCCCCAACATCAAATGGAAAAAAGGACACCTATCACTCTAAGAGTTAAAATTTTTAAACTCAAATTAATTAGTTTTTCCAAGGAGGCTTCTCAGTTCAAACAAAAGAGTAGAATTTGCTAATCTAATCAAACTTCAATATAAAAGCTAGCTAGCTCATCAATGATTTAAAAAAGAATGACAGAATAATGGAATGGAAAGAGAAATAATGGAAGAGAAGCATACTGAACAGTAGGGAGAAAACATGTGCTTAGCGTACACTCAATACTCTATCTTAACATCTCATGGAGAGATGAATGGGAAAGGCCAGCAAAACTCAATGACACTAACCATTACAATCAACTAAGTAACTGCCATTTGTTAATTCATTACCAATAAACAACTTCTTGTTTGGCTTTTTCCACGTAAATCAGCAAGTATTTATGTGTACAACAGCTAAGATATAATCCTCATTATAAATTCATAAATTGATATTTTTGCTTAATAATTCTCTAATGAGTTAGGTTAATATTCTTACAAGTTTGGTTAACGTACCCTTGAGTAAGCTCACACTTGAACAAGGTAATTAAATTTACATGATTCCCAAAAAGCCCTATCTTAGTAGGGAACTGGTCTCCCTTGCTGACACAATAAATTATTGTATTCCATAAAAAAGGACTGTAGAGGGACATCCAAATCAGTCTGAACAAATGTGTTAGCTAGAGAAATAGTGGAGTTAGCTTAGGAGAATGGTAAGCAAAGGCTTTCTGAAGGTGGCAACAAAATCTAAATTTTGAAGGACAAGTAACAAGGAGAAGTGATAGCACATACTAGCATCATGTAATCAGAGGTCTGAAAATAGTTTCACACTGCTGGTGCAAAAGGCACAGGGCTAATATCTAAAACAACAGGCATATAATAATTATGGCATCCTAACAACTCCTAGTATAAAACTATTTAGTACTTACGAAAATACTTGTTGAGGTTTTTTTTATTGCTCACTAAATAATCTAGAACAGCACTATCCAAGAGAATCTTCTGTGATAATGAAAATATTCTATATCAACATTGTGGCTATTCAGGAATTTAAATGACTAGTGTAAATCATGAACTGAATTTTTAATAGCCACACACAACTAATTGCTCAGTATTGCACAGCACAGGCACATGTCCATGAGAAAACCATCGGCTCATGACATACTAAAGATAACCTGATGGCATTATCATTAAGTACATCACTTGATCCACAGTTCACACAGACATGAACAATTTTTTTTTTTTTTTTGATAGCTTAAGTGGCAGCCCATTATGGAATCAATCAGTCAAGAAAATGTGAGCACTGGGTTAAATGAAATGCAATTCACAGCACAGGCAGAAAGTTAACTAGTGGACAAAAATCAAGCACAGCAGACAATAAAAGCCTAAAAAGAGAAAGACACCTAGCAGCATAATTCAACTCAATCATTCCTTTATATTCTGTCGTCCTTTCATTCATTCATTGATGGGCCATTTATTACACAGGGCAATAAAAATAAGTGTGAACGAAACACAAATAGCCCCTGCACCAATGGAAGAACAAACCATAAAAGCAGAGAGATGTCTTAGAGTTGTCTTAGAAGGTCTCTTTGAAAAGATATTTAAAGAATGAACTAATTAAATGAAGTACAGAAGTTGGGAATGAGATAAGCAACAGTGTTCCAAGCAGAGAAAACACATTCAGTATGTTTGAAAATCCAGGAGGTTTGGATGGCTGGAGTGCACTGGTCAAAGGTAATGACAAGACTAGGTTGAATAAAAATATAGGGGATAGTTTATGTTGGGCCTTCAGATTCCACATAAGTGGGCTAATAAAGCTTTTAAATCCTGAAGACAGTACAAGATCAAATGATTACCCTGAGTCACTTGAAAAGCAAACTTTCTACCACTGAAAAACAAAATACTTTATTTTCTAAATTCTAAAAACACCCTGGCCCTCACAGATTACACATTTAATACTATATCCTCGAAAAAATGCACTTTTTTAGGAAAACAAGAAACTCAAAAACAATAACTGTCAGTTTTCTCAATAATCAACTGCAAGATCCACGCTCTGTTTTAAAATGTGGAAATGTGCCAAATGAGCATCTTTTTATGAGTCAGGAAAATAAAGTCAAATAGATCTATGCCTGATTTAACTTATTGTTCAGAGGCTTTTACTATTCCTGCCTTATTTACAGGTTCACAAATATATCAAATATTTTAAATTAAACAATCTATAACAATTTTGGGAAATACTAATACCAGAGCTAATTCACATTTTTTAAAAAGTACATCAGTTCTTTTACTGGTAACAGTCCCTCCCCCAAAAATATTAATTATACTAATACTTAGAATTTAGTATCTGTATTCTATAGTCATTGTCAACTAGAAACAGTTCCTGAATTCTGTCCATTTGAAACTAAAGGTTCAAAAACATAAGTAGAACATAAACATTATATTAAACTATACTAATAAATTATTAATATCTTCTTTCCAGTTTCACTCAGCTACAAGTAGACTACTGTAAAAATGGGAATGGGAATCTTCCTATTGCTATGAGGAAGCTCTAGCTATATCTATGCTTTAAAATAACGGGAAAAATGGGTAAAAAAGAGAAATGTATCGTAAGAAAATAACTTAAAATTATATAATTTGTTCAATTATATAATTCAGCACAAAATTGTCTGGTTAAATACAAGCTAATGTAAAAAGAAATGAATTTACCTATGGTTTAAAACAAAAATTTAAGGATCCTCATACAGTAAAAACTTACTTTATTTTTCTTGTGTATGTATAGCTTAAACAAAATATCAGCAGATATTATTCCAGACAACAGAATATTCAGATATTGATTACTAGGTAAAATATATCACTCTGATAAAACATTATCAGCTATAAAAAAGATTACGTTTTTCCAGTGTACTGATACTATATCAAAATCAGACTACAAAGTGGACTGAATATACATATACATGTATCTATGTATGTGTGGTATATATGGGTATAGGTGTAATATTCTAAATTAAACTAAATATCATCTTACCAAAGACATTGATTCTGTAGAAAAATCTCTTACAGATTTGACATAAACCTGAAGGAAAAAAAGAAAGAACTTATATACAAAGAACTTGTACACAGATAACCTCCAATGTGATTACAGGCTTTTAGTTTTAGTAAAAGTACACACTTACTTGTAAAATATTCAGATTCACTAGGATGACATAAAGTTATGGCTTACAAATTAAGAGTGAAATGTGCAAAGTTGTCTAAGCTACAGAAACTTAAAAAAAAGGCAAAGATGTAAGGTCAAATGAAAATGTACTTTATTAAAATATTAGTGTTCTTACAGATTAAATTTGAAGCACAGCAATATTCAGTTCTCAGGATAGAATGTAAAATAATGCAAACTTCTGTCAGTCCAATAGAAGTGGAAAATCAGAGCTGATATTCAAAATTTTTCCTGCATAGAACCCTAGACGTTTTCAGAAAGAAAACAAAAAAAATAAGGAAGTGCTTCAGTGATCACTTTAACTGCAAATTTTACCCATCTCCAGCCTAATTCATTAACTTTAATATCAAGCACAGCCACCGCCAGCACTTATAGTACCTTTGTACGTACTAGAAAAAAAGAGGCAGATGTTGGCCTGCAGGCACTTGGCTTAGCCCAATTCTACCTAGTAATTGTTTAGCCCAATTCTACCTAGAAAATTTTTCTTCTTACTGAAGATTTTATATCTCTCTAAAATGTTTTGACTAAAAAGGCAGTTTTCAAGTGTGTGTGTGGAAAGTAGGGCGAAGAGGAAAGGAGAGGAAGGCCATCTTCACAATGAATAAAATAGAAGGAAAAAATCAGTTTTACCTAAAGAGGGGTAGGTGATTAATTTAAAGGGAAATCAGGTAGAGCAAAGTGCCTGACAGTATAATTACAAAGAATAATATCCAGTCTAGAATGTCTGTGCAGTTTTGTAAGTTTCCTTATTAAGTATTTATTATTTCACTAAGTATTAATAAGTATTAATAAGTACTTATTTATTAATAAGTAATTATGGAAGTATTATAAAGGAATTCCCTTTTCTATCTAGTCATTTTAAACATAAAACCAAGAAAAAACTTCTATTTTTTAAACTTAAAATATTCAATTAAAATAATTTCAGTTAAAATATTCAATTAAAACTACTTGTCAGACCAAGTAGTTTATCTGCAGATTAACAGAAATACTTTCAGTTCCATCACTGTAGCTCATTAAATCTGCAATACAATTAGAGAATAAAAACTACATACTTACATAAACAGTTGATTTGAGGTCTTCAAATGCTTTCAAAAATATGCAAGGTTTATCATCTTTGCCTATAGATGAAGAAGCTGAAAAAACAATAAATCTAGCCACTGCAATGGTGTCCTACACAAGAAAAAGAAAGTTTTTGAATCAATCACCAAAATATCTACAATTTGGAATGTCATATAAATCCTTATCTATATTATTATCTTTAGAACAAAAATTACTTCTATAAAACAGAAAACTGGTTAACCCAAACTTGTGTAACACTTACTGAATACATGATTTAGACTATCACTTCCTCTAAAACATCTTCAACATCTACAGCTACAATATAGCCACAGATGGCTATAATGTCCCACTTCATCGGACCAGGAAAATGCTAAATTACTAAGAAAGTTTTATGTAGTGAAACTTAGATGTTCCAATAGTATCAAGGATGGAATTTAAATGAAACTAAATCTCAAAGTTGAGAAACCACATTGAGAAAGGCATAACAGTGCAAAAACTCCACATATTACAAAACTAATACATGTGCATACAAACACAGGGCATAGATATAATAAGAAACCTCCATTTATAGACTAATAAGAACAAAGATAGCTTCTTACTACTTAGGTTTGTAACAGCAGTAAGAAGCCATTCTCCATTTATCCCTTCCTCTCTCATTCTTCAAATTTCCTTTTCTTATTTTCCAAATACTAAAACAGAAATACTCAAAGAGTTTTGCCTTGCTGCATATACATTTTTTATTGTCTTACTCCCTTAATTTTAACACCAATACCTTAAGATACACCAAAATGCCTGGGCTTTTGGTCATCTTCCTTCAATAATTTTAAACTCTGTCAAGTGGAAGTCTTCTGCATTACCACAGTTTGCTTTGCATATACAAGGGCCTAGTGTCAATTCCCACAATCCTCTATTTAGACTTAATAATTGGACTGAGAGCATATTGAAGATAGCGGTCATTTCTAATTCTGCTCTGTATTTACAGGAGTTGGCACAAAGCAGGCCCTTCCAAAACAAACTGTCTATGAACCAAAGGAAAGACCTTATGTTGCCTTTGCTAAAAATCTCTTGCCCTAACCAGGTATTGTAGCTCTGCAAACTCCTGCCTTTTTTTCTTCACATGAGATTGCAAACATAACTGTATGTATGCTGATAATGCCAAATTACCACAACTCTTCATAGTTAAGTGGGAGAAAATTTTTCTTCTTACTGAAGATTTTATCTCTCTCTAAAACGTTTTATGCAGTTTAAAAAATAAAATGAACACGCTTCTGGAATAAAAGTAACAAATGAGTTACCTTTTTTCAGTTTTACAAACTGAAAAATACACTCCACTTTCAAGTGACCTCAAACCAATACATTCTGATTAAATGAAAACCTAAGATTTTAGTCAAAGATTTAAAATTGTTTATCAAACTAACACAGAAGATAAATAGAAGTAGGGAAGCCAACAGTTTATCAGTTCTAAATTATCCAAGCAGAAAAAAAACCTACCTCTTGTTATTCTGTGTTCCACTTAAAAATGTTTTCAAAAGTAAATACTATACACCAAATGCAAATGTTGGAGTACAGATGACCATTTTCTTTCTATTTTCCTGCAGAATCTAAACTTTTTAAAAAGACTGAGTATGTATTTCTTTTATCATGAAGAAAAATTTTAAAAAGAATAAATGACTAAAAGCTGGACATCAGCATTCATAAGAAAAATGTTTCTGAAGTTAACAGCAGCTACACACAATTCAGTAAAAAGTTACAACCCTTCCTCTGGCATACATTCAACAGCATAGAAATAACAATCACAGCTTTTTTAAAAAAATTAAAATGTGTTTATTATATTCGTAAATGTGGATTTATATTTGAATATACATATAAAAACTGCACTGAAGGCCCTCAGTGATCTCATTCCAACCAACTCTTCCTGTTTTATTTCTACATACTTCCCATTCAATATTAGACAAATTGGATCCTCTTAAAAGTATAGTGCTTTTCCATATATATTCTTTACATACTTTGAGCCACTGCTACAAATAAAAAACATGTTTCCCATTTGTACATATCTAACCTTATCCATATTTCAAAGTTTAGCCTTCTTCCTGGGAGAATCTATGATGGATTCTCTCTCAAAAACAAGTAATTCTACCTTCCTCTAAACTCTCCTACATAGCATTTTAGCATTTTTCTCTTTGTGTTATTTACAAACTTTTCTTAATGCCTTTAAAGCCCTTAAAGTCCTGTAAGTTCCTTGGACTAAAAATAATGGAGATCATTCCAAGATGGTCGAATAGCAACAGCTCCAGTCTACAGCTCCCAGCGTGAGTCACGCAGAAGACAGGTGATTTCTGCATTTCCAACTGAGGTACTGGGTTCATCTCACTAGGACTTGTTGGACAGTGGTTGCGGCCCACAGAGTGTGAGGCGAAGCACAGGGGTGGGGGAATTCCCTTTCCTGGCCAAGGAAAGCCATGAAACGTGGTACCTGGAAAATCGGGACACTCCTGCCATAATACTGTGCTTTTCCAATGGTCTTAGCAAACGGCACACCAGGGGATTATATCCCATGCCTGGCTCATCAGGTCCCACGCCCACAGAGTCTTGCTCACTGCTAGCACAGCAGATCGAACTGCGAGACTGCAGCGAGGCTCGGGGAGGGGCGTCCACCATTGCTGAGGCTTGACTAGGTAAACAAAGCGGCTGGGAAGCTCGAACTGGGTGGAGCGCACTGCAGTTCAACCAGGCCTGCCTGCCTCTGTAGATTCCACCTCTGATGGCAGGGCATAGCTGAATAAAAGGCAGCAGCAACTTCTGCAGACTCAAACGTCCCTGTCTGACAGTTTTGAAGAGAGCAGCGATTCTCCCAGTATGGAGTTTGAGATCTGAGAACGGACAGATTGCCTCCTCAGGTGGGTCCCTAATCCCCGAGTAGCCTAACTGGGAGGGGCTGACTGACACCTCATACAGGTGGGTGCCCCTCTGAGACGAAGCTTCCAGAGGAAGGCTCAGGCGGCAACATTTGCTTTTCTGAAATTTGCTGTTTGCTGTTCTGCAGCCTCTGCTGGTGATACCCAGGCAAACAGGGTCTGAAGTGGATCTCCAGCCAACTCCAATAGACCTGCAGTTGAGGGTCCTGACTGTAAGAAGGAAAACTAACAAACAGAAAGGAATAGCATCAACATCAACAAAAAGGACCTTCACGCCAAAACCCCATCTGAAGGTCACCATTATCAAAGACCAAAGGTAGATAAAACCTCAAAGATGGGGAGAAACCAGAGCAGAAAAGCTGAAAAGTCTAAAAATCAGAGCGCCTCTTCTCCTCCAAAGGATCGCAGCTTCTCGCCAGTGACGGAACAAAGCTGGAGAGAGAATGACTTTGACAAGTTGGCAGAAGTAGGCTTCAGAAGATCAGTAATAAAAAACTTCTCCAAGTTACAGGCGGATATTTGAACCCACGCAAATAAGCTAAAAGCCTTGAAAAGATTAGACAAATGGCTAACTAGAATTAACAGTGTAGAGAAGAACTTAAATGACCTGATGGAGTTGAAAACAATGGCACAAGAACTATGTGATGCATGCATAAGCTTCAGTAGTCGATTGGATCAAGTGGAAAAAAGGGTATCAGTGACTGATGAACAAATGAATGAAATTAAGTAAGAAGAGAAGTTTAGAGAAAAAAGAGTAAAAGAAAAATGAACAAAGTCTCCAAGAAATATGGGACTATGTGAAAAGACCAAATCCACATTTGACTGGTGTACCTAAAAGTGATATGGGGATAATAGAACCAAACTGGAAAACACTCTCCAGGATATTATCCAGGAGAACTTCCCCAACGTAGCAAGGCAGGCCAACATTCAAATTCAGGAAATACAAAGAATGCCACAAAGATACTCTTTGAGAAGAGCAACCTCAACACACATAATTGTCAGATTCACCAAGGTTGAAATGAAGGAAAAAATGTTAACGGCAGCCAGAAAAAAAGGTCAGGTTACCCACAAAGGGAAGCCGATCAGACTAACAGCGGATCTCTCAGCAGAAACTCTACAAGCCAGAAGAGAGTGGGGTTCAATATTCAACATTCTTCAAGAAAAGCATTTTCAACCCAGAATTTCATATCCAGCCAAACTAAGCTTCTTAAGTGACGGAGAAATAAAATCCTTTACAGACAAGCAAATGCTGAGAGATTTCGATACCACCAGGCCTGCCGTTACAAGAGTCCTTGGAAGGAAACATATAACATGGAAAGGAACAACTGGTACCAAGCACAGCCAAAAACATGCCAAATTGTTAAAGGTCATCGATGCTAGGGAAGGAACTGCATCAACTAACGGAGCCAAAATAACAGCTAAACATCATAATGGGCAGGATCTAATTCACACATAACAAATATTAACCTTAAATGAAATGGGATAAATTGCCTCACATTAAAAGACACCGACTGGCATTGATAAAACAGTCAAGACCCCTCAGTTGTGCTGTGTTCAGGATGACCCATCTCATGTTCCAAGATACACATAGGCTCAAAATAAAGGGATGGAGGAAGATCTACCCAAGCAAATAGAAAATAAATAAAAAAAAAAGCAGGCGTTGCAATCCTAGTCCTGACAAAACAGGCTTAAACCAATAAGATCAAGAGAGACAAAGGAAGGCCGTTACATAATTGGGTAAGGGATCAATTCAACAAGAAGAGCTAACTATCCTAAATATATATGCACCCAATACAGGAGCACCCAGATTCATAAAGCAAGTCCTTAGAGACCTATAAAGGGACTTAAGACTCCCACACAATAATAATGGGAGACTTTAACACCCCACTGTCAACATCAGACAGATCAATGAGACAGAAAGTTAACAAGGATATCCAGGACTTGAACTCAGCTCTGCACCAAGTGGACTTAATAGATATCTACGGAATTCTCCTCCCCAAATCAACAGAATATACATTCAATATCCCTGATGAACATCAGTGCAAAAATCCTCAATAAAATACTGGCAAACCGAATCCAGCAACACATCAAAAAGCTTATCCAACACAATCAAGTTGGCTTCATCCCTGAGATGCAAGGCTG